TTTATTGTTACCAACAACCCAATATACATAACATGCATTAGTATAAGGAATATTTCTGTGTTCATCATGTTGTATCTGTAATTATAGCACTGTTCACACATTCTGCTTTCTCAAAAGATTAGCTAAAGTAAAGCGTGGCTGTTCTCAATGGAAGGACACGTTCTGTTGTGGCAGACAGACTGCCTGGTGAGCTTGGCCTCTGCCAGGTGTTTTTCTGAGCCTCTGGTTTAGCAGCAGGTTTGAGCAGAGGATCCAATTATAAATCTTTTGGTAATTAAAACAACAGCTGTTATAATTAAAGGACTCCTCATTAAGTCACTATTAACTGAAGCTTAGGGTGGGTTTTCAGTGAAATGAAAGCAGTGAAACCTTTTTTAAGCAAGCAAAGGTACTGGGGAACAACAGAATGGTATTCAACAGAAGGTGAAATGTATTTAAAATTTGCTTTCCCCATTAGAAGTTTTTTTAAAGTCCTCTATGGAAAAGTCAGACCAGAAATGCCAGGGCAGGAGTGTTTGCCTGGAACAGCTAAAGGCCCGGAGATGCAAGGAAGACACAAGAACCTCTGCTCCTGCAGGTCCTGCCTGCGGTGCTGGGGCAGTCGTCCCCACACGCAGTGCCTCTTGCTGCCCCTGCACAGTGGCACCACGGGCTGCCCGCAGTCTGGCCCTGGAGAGCACTCTGTTTCATCTCAGGTCTCAAGCCAATGAGCAGCACAGACCCAACTCACGGGCTGGAGTTTTTAGGAAAACTTTGCTCTTCCTCAGCATTCAGGGAACCGCTTCTTCTCTTTCTATGAAAACAAGCCCAGTGTGATACACTGACCTCTGTGTAGTGGAAAGCAACCCATAAGTCTAGGGAATTAAACCTTAACAGTGATGAGTACATATGTGTGCAAGTGCTGTTACCATTCACTGCTGCAAGTGGAAGTCTTGGTTCATAATGAAAATCGTAATGTCTAATTAAAATAATGACTTTCAGCAATCTGATATCCTGGAATAGGTCATCAGGTGGTGGAAATTTCAGAGGGTGTCCTACAGAAAAGTACTGTTTTCCACGTCTGCTTGAAGATGAATTGCACTCATCTCACAAATCCCCATGATTAATTGCAGTTTCAGCCTTTTGAAATTACAGTCACTGTCACTGGACATTTTGTTGTGGTAGGGTCTCTTAGGTGCATCTCATGAAGGGTTTCATTGGCACTGCAATTCTTTTGGCTAGGGATGAGATTTCTTCCTTCATTAACTACATTCATATCCTTATGTGAACACTATAAAGCCTGTTGTACTTCTGTGATGGGAGGCACCACTCCTGCATGCTGCCAAAGCTAAGTGAAGCCCATCCCTGTCCAGAGGGTCAGCATAAGGAGCAGAGTAATATGCGTCACTTGTTTTTGTCATGTCATCACGGGAGGGTTTCAGCCTCTGTGATTTAATCAATTAGCCTTTCAGCTCTATAGTGTGCCAAGCCATCTTAGTCCAAACCACCATCATTAAACAAAGCTGGGAGCATCCTTGTTTTTGCCAGCAATATATCTGAGGTCTACCTTTACAGAACCTCCCTAGTACTGCATAGTCATGAGAATATGCTCCTGAATGTGTTTTTGTTTTTTCCATTTCTGTAAAGATGTGGTTCTTGACATCAGCCCCTTGGATAGTGACCCAGAGGAAAAAAACACATCAGGCTTCTCATCTCTCCCTGCTTCTACCAGCAGAGTGACATGCCTACACAGCCAGCCTGATGGAAACCTAGGGCAATGTCAGCTTGTAAACCCATTCAACCATAAGCAACCCAAAGAGGCCAGCAGCAAGGAAAATAAGCTAATCCTCCCAAGTTCATTCTAAGACAATGTAGCATTGAGTATTATAAAGCAAATAAGAACCCCCCCCCAAAAAAAAACAAAGCATCAGGACCACTGTTGCAAGTTAGATACACATTATTACAGGAACCTAAGAAATATTGTGAGTTGTCTAATAGATTTTTTAAGCTCATTCTCTGCTTTACAGGTGTGTGTGTATATATATATATATTTGCTGATGATTAAACATTTTGCAGGAAGATGTACCACATAAGGGATTTTGCACTGGTATCCATGGAAACAATAGAACGTTTCCATCTAACATACATATTAATTTTTCCAAGCTGTTATTAGCTGTTCCTGCCAAAGGGGTTTAAAACAACATTAAGAAAGCAAAATAATGTAGCTAAAGATGTGAAACAGATTTATAGTTACAGGGATTATGAGAAAAGTATTTTTTTCAGATATTTTTCAAACTATGCTCATATGTGAGACAATTTTAGGCCACATCCTTTATCTTCATGAGAGTTAAGTTTAAGTTTTTAGCATCAAAAACTGACAGTGGGTTAAGTCACATCTGAATTGCCAGAAGACTTATTTGTATTCTAAGGAAGAAAATCAATATCAGAGGAGTTCTGTAAGGTGAATGAGAAAAAACAATTGTCTTATTTGATTACATCTATACCCATCCTGTACATTTCCGTAATATCAACTTTTAGATTTTGCATTTAAGAATAATTAAAAAAAATCATAAAAAATTGTATTTCAGTTTCTAGTTGGATCTATTCCTCAGTTACTCTTTCTAATAAACCATCCTAAATTATCCCTGTGCACAGAAGGTTGGTCTTCTTCCTATGTATTTTCTCCACCTTACAGAAGCCTGAGGTTCAAAGAGCAAGACTTTTCACTTTAGTGATGGTAAACTTAGAGGGGTCAAGTCAACACAGTTCTACAGACTGTAACATGGGCAGGTGGAAAGAGCTCTAAAGATGTATCGACTTCGATAAAGAACAATAGCTCTTTATTTTGTGACTTTTTAGCCATATTCTAGAGCAGTGTTAAGACGCTTTGTGTAAGAAGGGTCTCTTTTTAATAAAATTGTAGAATTTATTTCTCCATGGGCCATTTTGGCACCTACTTACATTTTATGGATCTCTTTCATTTCCCTGCTGACACCTTCTTGTCTTGTCTTACACCTGATCATAGGACCCTTGTACTAGCATAAGAACAGCAAGGTATGCCAAGCAAATGCCTCTCCTTACAGCAAATCCTTGTCTTGATGAATCCATCAGTGGTGCTCAAGGGCTTGGGAAGATCCTCAACAAGTTTCTCTTCTAAACACTTCTTTATGAGGGTCTGGCAAGCCAGGATTTAACTGGGTGGTCTCAGAAGTTAATTTAGTTTTGCAGTTCTCAGGTATGCTTAACACAGTGTTTTTATTCACAAGCTTGCATAGAAAATATATATTAGTCATTTTTGGTTGCCTATCTTTTAATTTATGAGACTGCTGTTAGTTTCAGTGAGTGAATACACACAAATCTGGCTGATGTGCTCCAGCACAGAGCAGGGGACCCCTAAGAAAGCAGGTTTGGAAAGAGCATGGTTCTTTCTCATCCCAGGCTCAATGGGTGTGTAGGAGCAGCAGCCAGCAACTTGTTCCAGCAGCCTCACGTTAGCAGTGGGGCATCCCGCTCACTCCACGCTGGCAGCACCCAGCTCTTTGGGGAGATACCGTGCCACAGATAAAACCTGATCACCTCCTCCAGCAATGTTTACACCTAAGTTTTGCCTTGGAACCATTCTTAGATGGTGGCATAGATGAGAGCTGTCTGTCTGGGGAGAAACAGTGAGGAGTTGCAGGAACAGAGGCAGGATTGTGATCAGCAAAGACAAGCACTTCTCTCCTCTCCATCTTCTCCAAATCTGCCTGTGTCTGTTGGCCAGTTTTGTTGACATTCGCGACAGATCTAAGACTTCAGAAGGGTCAAGAGGAACATGCTCATGTGCTGTTGAGCTTATGAGAGCCAGTAACAATCCTCTGGAAGAAAGAGGAAAGACAGGCAAAAGCAACAAATGAAAAAGGACCTGGCATGATTTTTCAGCTGTTTTGATTTCTGAAAAGATGTTAATCGACAAAGGCTTTAAGCTGTATGTTCACAGAAAAGCCATGAAGGTCTCATAAAAGTTAGACCTTAGTCAGGTTGGTAATATGAGAGCAATGTCACATTGCCAGTGGTAGTAACTAATTCTTCGCTTTTGTAGAAAATAGGAAAGAGACCAAAATTAGAGACAGGATTATGGCACAGTTGTAATATCATGATCATTACTTATTCCTTCAGCATTCATTATTGTTAGATGAATCATAATGAACTCATCTGGCATTAATATAAATGTAAAAATGCAAATCCATGCAGATTCAGATGTAATTCAGCATTATTTAATGTACCGTTAAACTTCTTCATGAGATTCCCCTAAAATGAGATCTTTCTTTGAAAGAGTCTAGCTATTACTGAAGAATAAAGAAGTGATAATTTGGCTATTGGGCACCTTATGGGACTAGCAGAGGTAACAGTTTATCACTGTGAGTGACTATTAGGAAGAGAGACTTCTTAATTTGGAAATTAAAACCAAGCAATGTGAGGACACTAATTCCAGTATCAATTAAAGGCATTTATTTTCTTTTGCAGTTCAGTAATTGTGTCAGATATGGGATGTTTTAATTAAGAGTCCATTTTATTGTTTCTCCTACTTCCTCAACCTATTTATGCAACTTTGATCTGCAAATTTTTAGGAAAAGGAGGCAGAAGCTCTACAGGAGCTCCTCCAGCATGGCTAGCCTTCTTTCTTACACTGCTCCTCTTCCTGGGGAGCTGGCATTGTGGAAGCCCCATGTCCTGCTCCTGGGACAGCGGGCATAGCCCTGCCACAACAGGGAAGCTGGGCAAGCCTGTCAAGAGTTTTCAAGGGCTACAAGCTAAGCAGCTGAAGGAAGACCCACTCAAACATAATTCCAAGTTGTCTCGTCTTCCCAAAGGTAGTGTGTTAGCATTTTACTGTTTTCCAGTTACCTTGCTCTAACAATCAATTCCAAAAGCATCCTCTGTCATGCTACCAGGGGTTAACAGGTTCAGCACTGACTTCTCTGGTTTTATTTCTGGTAGTATCTGCACATAACCCTACTTTGTGTTCCTTTGTATTTTAGCCACTCTTGCAGTTCTCCCTGGGTGGAGCCTCAAGCAGCTGTCATGGTTTATACAAAACTCTCATTAAAGAAAAAACAACAAGCGGTGAGTGTCCTGTTTGCTGAAATCCAGAAAGTGTCTGCACTAAGAGAGGTGAGTAGAGAGCTTTTATGCCTTGCCTTTCACAGATGTACATAGGATACATTAATATATGATGGATGTGTAGCGTCCACTACACAGTAAGACTTAGCTACAAAGAATGTCTTGAATTTGCCTAAGTTCAATTCAAAGGAAAACATAATGTTTTGTTCTTAATTGGAAGAACCTACATTAAAATTGTGGAAATGCTTTTGCAATGGAATTTGCAGTTCTCACCCACAAGGCAAAGGTGCACTGATAAGTAGATCTGCTTGGCTTTTCTTGCATGGTTTAAGATCACTTCACTAATGAAACCATTCCCACTTTCATCTTCAAAATAGTGGAGCCACCTGCCTCAGAGGTTTGCCCAGGCCAATCCCAGCCATCCAGGAGGAACAGACATGGAGCCATAGGGAGAACCTGTCATTTTCTTAGAGCAATTTGCAGGTCTGCAATATTGCTGTAAGTAACTATTCACTGTCCTTTCAGTCAAAATCCATACAGAACAAAGGAATATACTCTTTTAGTATGCAATGTCTTGAAAATAAAAATCCAACTTACAGCACAGACGAGATTCCTGCATGATTATCATAATTAATTTAATTGCAAATATTCGCTCACTTTTGGAAGATGAAGAACATTAAATACCTGATGTCTCTTTCTTTAACAAAACATCACTAACCACATTAAAGCAGGGCATTTTGAAAGCAGATCAGTTCTTGTCTGAGCAGCTGCCTTCATGCAGAGAGTGATGAATTCACTGCCTGCAACCTCTTCTGCATCAGTTCCAATTAATGTATTAAGCATGACAAAGAGCTGGACGTATGCGAGTGTCTCTGCGGTGGCTGTGGAAGATGTCCACAACCAGCCAGAGTAGGATGGAGCTTAATCTGTCAAATGACTGCAAGCCGTGCTCAGCAAACAAGTGTAATTTTTTAATGTTGAATGAGCAAAACTGGAACTTGTAGGCAATGAGTTCAGAAAGAGAAGATTTTTTTCTGTTCTGATTTAAAAATAATAATAACAATTTTTAAAAAGTTAAATTTTGCACAACCAGGGCCAAACTGACTCCTAGTACAGAAACACACTCCTGTGTTTCTTTCCACACCTGCACTGCTGATCCGCATCAGGGGCTGCCATGGCACGGGTAGCTCCCTCGCCGCAGCCCCGCAGCAGCTGTGTCTCTTCTCCAGAAAAGGAACCAGTCTCAGGGGGGCTGGAGCTCTGTACAGCTCTGTGTACAGTGCTGGGAGTTTTGTTCAACCCTGCAATGGATCATGAGAAAAAAGTGTCTGTTTTACTTGGTGTCGGTAGTATTGATCTCTTCAAGAAGAAATTAATGGAAGTGTTTTCCTCTTTATTGCTTCAGGGCTTGCTGTCTAGAAATAGAAAGAATTTGCCTGTTTGTGATTCTCCTTGCAGTTACTTCTCACAACAATACATACCCAATGTTTCTCTGTCTTCCTTTCTTCCCATTTTTAAATGTACACATTTAAAGCATTTTGCCCCCTGGGTATGGTTTAGAAAGAAAACTTCAGTACTTAATGCTGGGCAAAATGATTTCTGGTAATACAGGCAAGCAGTGAAAGAATAAGGCTTAGATTAGCCTGCCCTCCAAGAAAGGGCACACATTTGCAATAGTAAGTAATGAATGAAATTGTTCTCAGTGTCTAGATATGCTTTTCAACTAGCTTAACTTCTTTCAGACTGGAGATATATATATCCTTTTGCTCAAAATGACAGGTTATGAAACCTACGAGCTTTTGGTGGCTGTTTTCAAAATGGAGTGCAACTTTTCATATTTAAGTGCTACCTATACAAATGTATAGTAAACATCTGGGAATATGTATAGTGCATGGTTTTTGGATCAACCCCGATTTGACATACTCAGCAGTTTTCTTGCCCTTACTCTATTTCCAGCTTTTGTTTAAATGCTCTCCCCTGATAATTGAATATGTAAAACTTCAACCTTGCAAGCAGCCAAGGATCAATGAAGGCTGACACTGAGCAGTGCAATATATGGGCTAATGGCTCCACTTTTATTGAACCAATTTAACACCCTGTGACAAGGGACCTAGTCTCCCCCTTACTGGCACCCTACAAGTAAATCTCTCCCTGCTCCCCAGCAATGTGCTTGATTTTAACATCAGCCATTAAGATTGTTTGTATGCTTAATCTTGCAGAGTTTGCTGAATCAGGGCCTCATCAAGACATATATCTAACAAAAGCAAGTACTGGGGGAAAAAAGGATAAAAGTCTAGCAGCACAACCACATGGAATATAATTGGCCACTTTCAGGGCCCCTTAATCAAACCGACACGGAGGAGGAGGATTCAGCCCAGCACTTCACGCAAACCCTTTAGTTGCTCTGGATCCAAACCCACCATTGGTGTGGTGCCAGTGTCCCCTGTGGGACACCAGTGGTGGCCAAGGACAAGAAGCCAGCAGGTTCTGAGGTTTGCTCAGCAGGGTGGGACACTTCACAGAGAAGTGGTTTAGGGCTGCAAGAAGACCTGTTCCACCCTGCCTGGAACAGCTCCTGCAGCACCCACGGGTGCTCCTGGAAGCTACCACCTACAGGGGATCACCACAGTGCTGTCCTGACCCCCAACACCATCCTGCAGCATGAAGATGGAGCTGATGTCCCTTAGGACTGGGAGCACCAAGCCCATGTCCATTCACAGCCCTGAAAAAATTGGAAATCTCAAGCGGAAAGATTTAAAAAGTCAGTAGGTTAATATACAACTCCTGCTGTGTTAAGACAGCCCAGCTTTGTCAGCAGGATGTGCACGCTTTGCAGAACTCCTTCCCCTGCATCCATCTATTTTTCTGAGATAGCATTAAGTGGAGTTGTAATAATATTTAGGTTTGTTTGAGTTATGAGTTTGTTCTCTTTTCTACCAGCTGCAAACATATCACAGCTGAAGTCCTACCTTTCTAAACCCACCTGGTACGTGCATGCTGTGAAATTCTGGAAACTATTCTTTATTAATAGCATAAATCAAATCCTAATCTTTATTTCACCCCTGGTGAGGTGTACATACTTCTAATATTTTTCCTGGCTATCTTCTGCACTTTTCAACCTCTCAACTGCAAGGACAGCGAGGCAGCAGCCACCCTGTGATGCTATCTAATTTTTATCCATGTAGTTCGAGCCTTTCCTTGGCACAAAACTCAGGCCCTTAATCGTGTGGTACAACAGGCATTATGCAACTTTGATTTAGAGAGAACAAGGATGGTCTAGCATGTTACAGGCACCAACAAAAAGAGGTGTATTTTAGACTGGCTAAGTGCAGTCATACACAATCATATATTTATAGTCATATTCAGTAAGGATTTGGTTTTTCTCCATTTTTTGCTGGCCTCCCTCCCAGACACCAGATCAAACCAATGTTCCAGGGTGCTCATGTGTAAAGCCTCATGGGATTTCTTGTTGTTTTCTCCCAAAAGTGCATGTTTTTTGTTTTTTGTTTTTTTTTGTCCCAAGTTTTCCAGAAATCTGATCAAGTCTTGTATGTTGTTGTGGTTTAACCCGGCCAGCAGCTAAATACCACACAGCCCACCACATATACCCCACAGAGCTCACCCTCCCCCCTCCCTCTCTGGGATGGGGGAGAGAAATGGGAAAGTGAAGCCTGTGAGTTGAGATAAAGACAGTTTATTAAGACAGGAAAATAATAATAATAATGATAATAATGATAATAATAATAATAATAATTAATAATAATGTGTACAAAACAAGTGATGCACAATGCAATTGCTCACCACCCACAGACCGATGCCCAGCCTAACCCTGAGCAGTCTGGCCCCCTCCCCCCCCTGGCTGGGCACCCCTATATATTGTTCAGCACGACCCCAGATGGTATGGAATACCCCTTTGGTTAGTTAGGGTCAGCTGTCCTGGGTCTGTCCCCTCCCAGCTCTTGCTGCACCCCCAGCCTGCCCGCTGGCAGGACAGAGCAAGAAGCTGAAACGTCCTTGGCTTGGTGTAAGCACTGCTCTGCAACAATTAAAACATCATCGTGTTATCAGCACTCTTCTCATCCTAAGCTAAAACATAGCACCCTACCAGCTACTAGGAGGAAAATTAACTCTGTCCTAACTGAAACCAGGACATATTCCCATGCCATGAGTTTGTATGCATGTGTGTACACTACCTTGTTTTTCCAGATGTGGTAATTAAATTTGCCTCAGTCACTCAGAACAAGCCACTATGGATTTACAAAGAACTGTATGGCAGAGTTCAGGTTTTAGGTTTCACTCAATAAAGTTAATACAGGCTTCTCAATACAGTTTAGTGAAACTCTCACACTTGGAAGTAAGTAACCCTCCACTTGAGCATGAATTCACATAAATAAGTCAATGGAGATAGAGTACAAGTGTGGGAGTGATTTTAGATTTATAACTGAGACATATATTCATATGGTATCAAAATGTATGGACCTTGTGTTTCCCTGAGTTAGCTATATGCTAGTTTACATAGTAGGGTAGGTTGGCTATAAATTTTTGTGTCTGTTCAGTTACAGTCCTAAATCTTTCCTTTTGAATGCCTGTGTTCAAGTTACATTTCACATTTGTTCAGTTGTTCACTTCCCAGCAATCCCTATGCAAATGTCAGAGCAGATTTTTTCAGCAATGCTCGTCAAGAATTCTGCCCAAGGGAGCAGAGTCCTTCTAAACACCTCTGGCCACCAACTACTCTTAGTTAAATTTAGGCTCTTCAAAGACAAGATCACCTTATCATAGAATCATAGAACCAATAAGGTAGGAACCATCAGCATGTCTGACTGTGCGAGCTGAGGGTGCTTGGCTTGCCTTTTGTCTATTCACAGAGAGGCATCAGTTATAGTGAGCTGAGTAATGTTTTCATTCCCAACCCTGCAATTATTGTGTTGCAGTTAGTATCTGGGCATGAAGAATGCACAGCCTGAATCATTTGGCGTGCAGAGGATCTGTGTGAGAACAGCAGGCTAATAGCAATGATGCAGGGGATTGGGAAAGCCTGCCTCCCAATTTTATGCACAACAAGTGGGAAATTACGTGCTTTCTGCCTGCAGAGATTTTGAATGGTAAGAGGGTTTCACTGGGTGGTGATGAGGAAAGCTTTCCATCACTCAGCATTTTCTCTCCCAGCACAGCCTGGGATTCCGGGAGCAGTCAGGGAACAGGCATTGGGTCTGCCATACAGCAGAGAGTTTGCAGCTGCTCTGCAGGGTTGCTCATACACCTTCACAGCAGGCAGCAGCAGGCAAATCTCAACCAACAGACCTGGCAGAGCTCCCCCAGTTTTGGAGCCATCGTGTCACCTGTCTGATGACAAAATGGTGTCCTCGCCCTGGTCACTCCACCTTGTCCACTCTATCGAGGAACAGTGAGGAGAAATACCCTGGAGCTTCTTCATCTTCTTCTCTCCAGGACAAAGAAAAAGTTTCTTGTTCAACTGTATTTTGTGACAACAAAACTTTCTCAGGAAGAACCTAGAGTTTTTCTGCAAGTGCTTGTGCACTGGGTTTGCCCCACAATATCAAGTGAATTTTTTTTTTCTAGCTTTCTTGTTGTCTGCTTGCTTGGCAG